GCCCCACACTCTCAGGCCAAACACCGCGACACCGGCCCCCACACTCTCAGGCCAACACCGCGACACCGGCCCCACACTCTCAGGCCAACACCGCGACACCGGCCCCACACTCTCAGGCCAACACCGCGACACCGGCCCCACACTCTCAGGCCAACACCGCGACACCGGCCCCACACTCTCAGGCCAACACCGAGACACCGCGCTGTATTGGCCACGCCGTCCCGACCTCGCCGGCGGCGGCGGACCGGCCGACCGCCACAGCGCGTGAGCCGACGCCGCCGAGCGCCGCGCGTCGCCGCCAGTGATGTGGCGTCGGCGTCGACGCGTCGGGCGCGGCGCCTCGCGCGTGCAGTCGGCACCGCCGGGCGACGCGCTCCGCTGTGGCCCCGCTTCTCCCAGGGCGGCGCGACACGACGCCGACGGGCGCCGCGCAGGGCGAGCACAACGGCTCCTGCCGCCGTGGTGATCTGGGCTCTGGGGCTGTGAGCCGCCTATGCCAGCTTGAAGAGACCGGATGCTGCTCGGAAGAAGCCAACCGGCCCCGTCAATGGGCCTCGGGGCGCTCCTTCTGCTCTGCGCTCATCTGATGGGCTATGGTGAGTGCAGTGGCGCGTGGTGGCCTTTGACCCCTGATCCAGAAGGAGGCTCGGTTTCTAGGAAACAGGACTATTTATTCCGTGGGTTCCGTCTCTGACAATGGCGAAGTTACACTAGATATATGCGCTAGAGGCATGCACATGTCATACTTCCTTTACTCGATTCACTCGCAACCCAGTGGGATGTACCCATATCCATCCGCTACCCGCTCCCAATCACTTGTACCGACCTATTACCCTCCCGTTTATATTTTTCGGCACGCAAACTCTTAATTGTGGAAAAAGTTCAAGCATAGCTATTTCAAAAGTTAATGATGGCATGACAAAGTTACTAATTTGCATTCATTATTTCAAAACTAGAGATATTGGGCTAGTCATGACTAGACGAAGCGCAAGCAGCAACATTACGCAGCACACCTTGATGTATTTACTCAAAATTTCATAAACATCTTACCGCCACCTGTACCATGCCCGTAACTTTCCCAAAATCTGTAACGAACCTAGCCCGCCATCCATTTCATGTTGTTGCCCGTGTGTTTACCTAGCCTGCAAAGTCTTGTCATTTTCGGGCCTGGCTTGGCCAGAGACAAGAAGAAATATTTTCTGCTCTGCTGGAGGCTTCCTCTCGAGTTCGGCGAATGCTCAGCTCTAGGTAGACTGTGCCGCATTACCTTACTGTAGGGCGGGCCGGCCTATGCCACCAGCACGGTCGCCAGCTGAACGAGCGAGTGATATATGTACCCCGGCCCGGGGCAACAGGTCAGACGCGATGTTCCTGGAACAAAACGGAAGGGGTTCGGCTAATTTCTGTGAATGCGACATGTTTTTTTGCTTATCCTATACCAGAGGTCGTACCACATTTCAGTCATGTTTCCAAAAAAAGGAAGTATGACTACTTCAGAGGCGCTAATGAAAGCGGGCTGTCTCGCACGCACCAAAGCGTTAATAAAGGAGCCAGAACCTCCAGTTAGCAGTTGGAGACAATTCCCAAAATTCGTAACCAGCCTAGTCGGCCACCCGTTCCATATGGGTACACTTTTGTAGCAGTTGGAGAGATTATGTGTGAGGTGACGGCCAGCTTTATTAACGACATTTGGAAAAGAGAGCTGATTTAAGGTTCTGGATTCTTTACTGATGCTTTGATGTTTGTGGGAGAGTCCGCTTTCATTCGCACGTCTTAAGTAGTCATGCATCCTTTGTTTGAAAAGCACTACTGAAATGTGATTGGGACAAAGAAACTACCACTTGGTTGCCGCTTTGTTTATAGTATGCTGCAGACCATGTTTAATCTTGCTGTGGCAATCAGGTTTCAATTTGTCCCAGTGTTGACAAAGTCTGGCGCTGTCATGCTTTCTGCAAACAGGCTAGAAAGCATACCAGCTCAACGTGACGTTTGTCATTGTGGCTGTCGGTCGATAATGATTGTAAGAACTCCCCTGTGTGCTACATCAATCACCTGCCACGCGCGCTGGTGACCCGGTCCACCGGTGCGCACAGCCATCGGCCGATGGTGCTGTGACCCGGTCCACCGGCGCACACAGCCATTGGCCGATGGTGCTGTGACCCGGTCCGCCGGCGCACACAGCCATCGGCCGATGACGCTGTGACCCGGTCCACCGGCGCACACAGCCATCGGCCGATGACGCTGTGACCCGGTCCACCGGTGCGTACAGCCATCGGCCGATGACGCTGTGACCCGGTCCGCCGGCGCACACAGCCATCGGCCGATGACGCTGTGACCCGGTCCACCGGTGCGTACAGCCATCGGCCGATGGTGCTGTGACCCGGTCCACCGGTGCGTACAGCCATCGGCCGATGGTGCTGTGACCCGGTCCACCGGTGCGCACAGCCATCGGCCGATGACGCTGTGACCCGGTCCGCCGGCGCACACAGCCATCGGCCGATGGTGCTGTGACCCGGTCCACCGGTGCGCACAGCCATCGGCCGATGACGCTGTGACCCGGTCCACCGGCGCACACAGCCATCGGCCGATGGTGCTGTGACCCGGTCCATCGGTGCGCACCGCCAGCGGCCGATGCCACTGTGACTCGGTCCACCTGTGCGTACAGCCATTGGTCAATGGCGCTGTGGCGCTACGTAGGCACGGGCGTAGCCTCATAAAAATTTCTTATGGGCCTAAAGGCTGATTTGGACGACACAGATGTTTCGTATTGCAGTGCTGCTAAGCAGCTTTCTGTTGGAACAAGAGGCGAGATCCGCCGAGTCATGCTATTGATCAGAAGAATGTCATTGACTTATTTTCTTTTATTATTCACCGGCGTGCGTTCTCACCACACTCAGGCCAATATCGCAGTTGTGCTGCGTACAGCCAAGCGGAAGTGCCTACCCGTATATGTAGCCTTGCAAGTGCTGATACACGAAACGAGCTGGCTGTAAAGCCGAGGAAAGACATTGCCCTTTTTAACCACTCACCTTCCCTGGCTCCCGGCACAATGTGACGGGGCTGGCTGAATTGCGCTCCGTCTCAAGTGGGATAGAGTACGGCTATCTTGTGCAATAAGATGCCCGCGAGTGAGCGTACTGTAGAATCTCCATGCATTTGCGGCCTGCGCACGCTAACCTCCAATAAGGACTTTCCTCTGCCATTATTAAAGTTAAGTGGTCGCTGTACGCCCACTGCATTGATAGCGGGATGATCTCCTTGTCTTATACACGCTTGAATTAAAACTTCCTGACATTATAAATCATGGCTTATTAATGGTTGACCTCCGTTATCTCGTCCCTTTGGAGCAGTTTCTGCCAAGTTACCTCATTCTCACACCTGTTGAAGTATCCTCGCGAGTGGAACAAATAAACTGGTAGAAGGAAGTCTGAAGAGATTTATGCAGCCACTCTCGGGTTAGTTATCGTCTGCTACCGGGCATACCAACCGTGCTTGTGCACCACTGACGGTGACCGGCATGAGCAATGCAGCGCGTGTCAACTCGTCCGATCATGCTATGTTATGAAAATAACGTAGCATTTTCATTCCCACGATGACGTCCACATCTATATTTTGATGTCATCGATGCTTCGTTTGTTTTGTGGATAGAAAAATAATCTTCAGAGAGTTGGGTCTTAACATTACCGAGAACGGGGATCAGAGCAATTTAGTAACTGGCGGCCGATGGCTGAGTTTTACTGTCCACTAGTCAGACGTCTCCAGTCGCGCGAAGCCGGAGGTATTGCATGCCACTTCGTCAGGCGTCTCCAGTCGCGCGAAGCCGGAGGCATCGCGTGCCACTTCGTCAGGCGTCTCCAGTCGCGCGAAACCGGAGGTATTGCATGCCACTTCGTCAGGCGTCTCCAGTCGCGCGAAGCCGGAGGCATCGCGTGCCACTTCGTCAGGCGTCTCCAGTCGCGCGAAGCATGAGGCATCGCATGCCACTTCTTCGGTCTAGTCCATGTCATGCCTTGGCAGAGATTGGTCCGATTAGCCGGTCGGCTTGTTGTCCAGGGAGCTGGACCATTGCTCTGCACTGGCTGCACTGGCCCGACGCTGCTCCTCCGAGCAGTGCTTAACCGCCTTCTCTCCCGAGAATAGCACGCGTGTTTGGGTAAATTGCCGCTGCTTTACAATGCTGACTGACCTTGCTGGCTTGCCCAGTGCCTTCCAGAACCCATACTTTTAACCTTGGTGTACGCTCTGGTCCTATAGCGCAATTAACACCGTGTACTCAACTATGACAGATAATACACCCACGTGTTCGGCCTGCAAGAGAGACATGGGTGCTGCCTGCCACCGTATTCTCCGTTCGCATAAATGCCACGCACCAGCGCGATACCGCAGCGCGACAGAGCGTAAACATCATCGGGCCAGTTGATAGCAACATTAGCCGCCAGACCGCCGAACACACCAAGATGACTTGCTGCAATGCGCACTGCTGCCACAATGCGTGCGGCCAGAAGTATCTCTCGTTTGGAACAGCGAGACCCTACAACGTCGTCACTGGTATTATCTGTCTGCACTGGTATCATTTGTCAGCACTGGTATTATATGTCGGCACTAATGACATCTATCGGCACTGGCATCATCCGTTCGTGCTGGTGTGGTATTAGATGTCGGCACTGGTAATCTTTCGGCACTGGTATCATCTGTCGGCACTGGTATCATCTGTCGGCACTGGCATCACAATGTTCCGCTCTTTCTTTGGCTCGGCGTTGAAGCATTATTTGGAGAAAATGTGGATGCCGGAAGAATGCTTTAAATGAGATGGGTAGGTTGCATTTACGTACATCTTTGCGTGCCGTGTTATGTATGTCGTTCCCACACTGATAGGCACCGCTTCCAACGACTTTTACCCCTTTCAACGCTAGGCATTTTAGCCTTGTGTTTGTCGTGGAACTCGTAAAAGACGCCCAGTGCACTGCAATTCAGCAAGCCAGCACTTATGGCCGCGCTCCCGGACCCGTGAGGTTCATCGCGAGGCGAGGTTCGCCTTAGGGTGAGGTCCGGCTTGGGGGAGGTCCGCCTCGAGGCGAGGTCCCTGAGGTAATGTCCGGCTCGAGGCGAGGTCCGACTCGGGGGTGGTCCCTGAGGTGAGGTCCGGCTCGAGGCGAGGCCCCTGAGGTGAGGTCCGGCTCGAGGTGAGTTCCGACTCGGGGGTGGTCCCTGAGGTGAGGTCCGGCTCGAGGCGAGGCCCCTGAGGTGACGTCCGGCTCGAGGTGAGGTCCGACTCAGGAGTGGTCCCTGAGGTGAGGTCCGGCTCAAGGTGAGGTCCGGCTCGGGGGAGGTCCGGTCGGGGGTGGTCCCTGGGATGAGGTCCGGCTATTGGCAAGGTCCGTCCCGGGAGAGGTCTGGCGTGTGCCCGATCGGCTCGTGCGGCCTTCCATGGTCGGAAATAGAGCCGCACCGGGCTGGTCGGGCCGGCGGCGATGCCGTCGGCAGGACCGAGAGAGCTCCGATTCGCCTCGGGACACCGCGCCGTCCCAGAGCGGCGAAGCAAGGCAACGATTGAATGTGGTGGACGAGGGCCAACTGAGACTAAATATGTCCCAGTCTGTACATCTGCCGGGAAAAGGAAGTATGTTGCACCACGATGCACGTTTGGTATACGTTGTGCCTCGGGACTACCACCGAGGGAGCAAGCTGGAAAGGGAGGGGAGAAACAGGCCTGAAGTCCGATGCAAGCCGGCAAGCAAGCTCAGCGTGGCGAGAGTTCGGAGTGGGATATTTACAATATGAACATAAATGGGGTTTAAAAAGAAAAACTGACAAAGCTTTGCCACGCAAACCGTGATTCCCAAGCATTATGCCGGGGGACAAATACATGAACGCATTCTTTACCATCCTCTCTCCAGGAGCGTTAGCTCACGAGCAGATTCATCAATTATGCAGTAGATCTTCGGGAAGAAGAACGTCAATAGAGCCACTCTCCCGCACCCATGCGCTGCTTCTCGTATGCATACTGGAATGATGATGCCTCATTGGGCAGCGCCCAGCCAAAATCGTGTGTGCGTGCGGCGCACACGTCCTTCGAGAGCGATGTCACTCACACATGTGGATATGGGGCCTGATATTGAGCAAGCCTCCGAGGGACGCACACAATTTATGGGCAGAATTAGCCAGCTTTTATGTGTCTGGCTCGGAGCACATCAGAAACACTCGAAGCGTAGATTACCAAAGTTAAGCCGACATGATAACTGAATTACGCGTCCCGAGCAACCAAACTAAATGAATTGGACAAGTTCTTCTAATCGAATGGGATATTTCAGCCCCACCACATGAGATTTCTATCGATGTTGCCCGAAGATGTTAAAATCCGCGGTCTTTTCAATGTCATAACTGATCTCAAAGGCTCCTTCCAGATTAACCGGGTCGGCTTCCAACACGTATCCTACATTGCCATTCCAGTGCATGCTAGATATGTCATTTGGTCCATGGAGCACTTGATATGATTATGAAAATCAGGAGGCGTTGTATGTACCTACATAAGGTGTTTGTGTATTCAAATTTACAACGTTTTCTGAAATCTCGCCGTTGGATGCAGCAGAATGTTTGCATTGAAGTTGCATTTCATTCCTTCTAGCTATGCATTTTCTATGAATCATTTGCATGCTTTCCGGCTTTTTACCGTCTGTGTTGAAAATCGACAGCTGTCTGTGAAATAATATATTGCTGTTTTTGAGTTCCGTAAGTCATAAAACGTCGCCTTGGTGCTGCTGATATTCTCCAAGTGGTTTAGAGACACACGCGCAACAAATCTGAGGCATATTCTTCAGTCAGGTGTCGACCGGAGGCTGGTGGTCGGTCCATGGCGGGCGACCTGTGACACTTCTGGCCCCTGCCCGCTGCCGCAGGACTCGGTGCCGTGCTGACAAAGAGGATCGTGGCGCGAGCCGGGCACCGGGCGGTCATCCCCTGCCCCGGACTCTCCGACAACAGCGCCCCTGGCGGTTATATCATCAACAAGCTGAGTTGGCGCTGCCACGGCCGGAAAGGCTGCCCGGTCGCCGACGAGAAGGTGAGCGGTTAGATGTGGCAACCAGGCAGAGCACCGTGTGGCTTAGAGGCAGACCACTTCACCATTTATGGCCTCAAAGTCGTGAGCGCGATGCTCGCTGCCGGTCATGTTTCATTTTTGCATGCCTCCAGCCGGGCTGATTGCATGCATCATGCATGCATCGTTGCATGCGTCTTTAGCAAACGACACCAAGGTACACCAGTGGTCAGGCAGCGCCGAATCGAAGCGGCGCAGGCTGCCGCCGGGGTCGGTGGGGCGCCGGGACGTGAAAGGTGCCGTCCAGAGTCGCTGAGGCGGCGGGGTAGCTGGAGCACCGCTATCCGTCATGTGGTGCTGGAGTGATGCTGACCACCTGGCTGAGAGTACGGGACGAACGGCGGCCCAGGTGTGCCAAACACTGGCATGGAGGACGACTGCCTGCCAGAGAATGGCTTAAGTTATGATAAGGACCCGTTTAATCTAGGGTTAACACATATCATACCATTTCTGAAAAGTTGGTGTATAGCTGCAGCTGCCGAGTAGTTGTGCTGGAAGTATTTACTCAAATACCATGGGTGCAACACGGCCGCAAGTTCCTTGAGAAAGTCTTCGACGAAGCTATACAAAAGCTCTCGGAATACTTTAAACTTGTGAAGATGTATAAACGATAATTAGAAAGCAGATACTCGCACCAATCTTTTTGTTAAAGCGGGGTGCTTCAGGAAATTGCGGAGAGAAGCAAATTATGAGGACAGATTCACATCAGAAATGAAGATAATAATATGCACATAAACTTCACACCTTCTATGGGCCACGGCATCAAGCACGCAATCCACAGACATGACAAGGACTCCTGACTAAGCAACAGCTCGGATTCCTCAATCAGTAAAAGATTGTCGCAAAAAGTTTTCTCGAAATATTGACGGCCGCATTGGGAGTTGTCATGGATCACTTGGCTGACTATTCAAATTTTCAAATGAACACTGCAAAAACGATGACGCTTGTGACAAGGTTCTCAGAGCTTCATCATGAGTCAGCATGTCAAGCAGAAAGCACATCGACTTTAGAACTTGGACTGCCACTGCACGCCTACTTACCGAAAAGCCGTCTGTCTCCGACATGCATCACAGTTTCATGGGAACCCATCCCACGCTGTTTTAGTGCCGGGATCTCATCCTCCGCCTCTCAAACGACCTCACCATCTGTCAGCTTCGCCTCTGGCCGCGGTGGCCGTCCACCCCTGCTGCATCCGCTGCAGTTCAGCCTGACGTACGGCCGTCCGTCTAGCCCCATCAGCTGCAGTTCAGCCTGACGTGCGGCCGTCCGTCTAGCCCCGTCAGCTGTGACCGCTACAGCCCCAGCCTGAAGTGCGGCCGTCCGTCTAGCCCTGTCAGCTGCAGTTCAGCCTGACGTTCGGCTGTCCGTCCAGCCCCGTCAGCTGCAGTTCAGCCTAGCGTACGGCCGCCCGTCTAGCCCCGTCAGCTGCAGTTCAGCCTGACGTGCGGCCGTCCGTCTAGCCCCGTCAGCTGTGACCGCTACAGCCCCAGCCTGAAGTACGGCTGTCCGTCTAGCCCCGTCAGCTGCAGTTCAGCCTGACGTACGGCCGTCCGTCTAGCCCCGTCAGCTACGACCGCTACAGGCCCAGCCTGACGTACGGCCGTCCGTCTAGCCCCGTCAGTTGCACCTGCTACAGGCCCAGCCTGACATACGGCCGTCCGTCCAGCCCCGTCAGCTGCAGTTCAGCCCGACGTTCGGCTGTCCGTCCAGCCCCGTCAGCTGCAGTTCAGCCCGACGTTCGGCTGTCCGTCTAGCCCCGTCAACTGCGGCCGCCACAGGCACAGCCTGACGTACGGCCGTCCATCTAGTCGCGTCAGCTGCACCCGCTACAGCCCCAGCCTGACGTACGGCCGTCCATCCGCTGCGGCCCATTGGGGCTTCTGGGTCAAGTCGGCCCCCACTCCGACGCCAGAGGGCCATACAACACAGCCAGCGACAGTCGCGCTTCCTTGTGGGAAGGAGGGGATATGGGTGGGGTGGGGGAGGGGCGGGGGGAGAGGGATGGGGCTGCCTTGGTGCCAAGAGAGCGCTCTTCGGCAGATGCAGAATTCCCCGGCTCAGAAGTAGCCCGCTGTTTGCCTGCTAGCTCCGACGCAAGGCTCGGCAAATGAGTCTCGATGGAGTGGCTACGCATGCGTCATCTGACGCGCTACCTGTCATGTCCCACGGATACCTCTGAGGTGACCTGGTTTTAAATAAGAGGTGCAAAGCCTAGATGCATCGCCACAGGTCATGAGAGCCGGCAATCTTTTCGGGGAAGTAATACTTTTTTGCACCTCTTACTATTTTCATTGCATTTAATAAGAGGCCAACACAGGTTTCCAACCGCGTAGTATACAGACCAGGCATCAGTTAGCCCACAGACCGCTCCGGCACGGCCACTGAGCCGATTAGCCCACAGACCGCTCCGGCACGGCCACTGAGCCAATTAGCCCACAGACCGCTCCGGCACGGCCACTGAGCCGATTGGCCCACAGACCGCTCCGGCACGGCCACTGAGCCGATTAGCCCACAAACCGCCCCGGCACGGTCACTGAGCCGATTAGCCCACAGACCACTCCGGCACGGCCACTGAGCCGATTAGCCCACAGACCCCCCGGCACGGCCACTGAGCCGATTAGCCCACAGACCTCTCCGGCACGGCCACTGAGCCAATTAGCCCACAGACCGCTCCGGCACGGTCACTGAGCCGGTTAGCCCACAGACCGCTCCGGCACGGTCACTGAGCCGATTAGCCCACAGGCCGCTCCGGCACGGTCACTGAGCGAATCCCGGTGTGTATGCCGTGGCCACGTTATGTTGTGTATTTTTCTCACTGCTGTCCCACTGGCAGCGGGGCAAATGTAACACACTGCCTCCCAAATACCTTAAAAGTTTCCAAATATCTATCAAGGCTGTATTTTTATGCAGAACAACCTTAACATTTTGGGGACCCATGGCTAGATCATCGAATCTCCTCTTCACTGCCGAAGAACTTGGGCTATCCGCGAAAGGGCACGCGCAAACTTGGCCAGAGAGCGGCAGTAGGCCGCGATGCTTGGCTGGCGGCCCGATTTCGTACCGGCGACTTGCCATTCGCGATGTTTAATGGTCTAAATGGCGCATATTCTGCGCAACAGACGGCCCAATGGTCCTTTGAAGTTTGGGAACGGCCGTCACTCGTGCCGACCTCTGTTCATGGCCTCGTGAGCCGCAGTAGCCCGGGACAGATTCCTAGACAGAGCCGGCTCGTGCCCTGACAGCCCGCGGCAGAGCTGACGACGGCAGGCTGTAGCCGTACTGCTCCGTGTCAATGACAGCGGCGCTGGACACTGTCGGGTGTGTCAGCCGGATGGCTGAACGCTGTCGGGTGTGTCACCGGATGGCTGGACACTGCCAGGTGTATCACCGGATGGCTGGACACTGTCGGGTGGTGTCAACCGGATGGCTGGCATCACCGGATGGCTGGACGCCTGTCGGGTGTGTCATCGGATGGCTGGACGCTGTCGGGTGTGTACCGGATGGGCTGGACGCTGTCGGGTGTGTCGCCGGATGACTGGACACCGAGGTGTGTCGCCGATGGCTGGACGCTGTCCAATGTGTCGCCGGATGGCTGGACACGGTCAGGTGTGTCGCCGGATGGCTGGACGCTGTCGGGTGTGTCGCGCCGATGACTGGACACTGCCAGGTGTATCACCGGCTGCTGGACACTGTCGGGTGTGTCCACCGGATGGCTGGACACTGTCAGGTGTCACCCGGATGCTGGACACTGTCAGGTGTATCACCGGATGGCTGGAACTGTCGGTGTGTCACCGGATGGCTGGACACTGTCAGGTGTATCACCGGATGGCTGGACGCTGTCGGGTGTGTCACCGGATGGCTGGACACTGTCAGGTGTATCACGGATGGCTGGACACTGTCGGTGTGTCACCGGATGGCTGGACACTTCAGCACCGGATGGCTGGACACTGTCAGGTGTGACCCCTGACGGCGCTGAATCCTGACGGCTGTGATCCCTGAAGGCGCCGAAGCCTGATTCCTGACCATGAAGGATCCACGACAGTGCCGCGACCTAATCCTTGACGGCACTGCAACACGAGTCCTGAAAATGCAGTGTCATGATCTCCCGTGGCGTCACCACGTGACGTCACGATAGATCACTGGAACATTAGCGTGACTGGGCAGAGGTGTGATGGACACTAACGGCCTGCCTAAAAGCAAAGTAACGCAGCCCTAATTGCACTTCGGGGTCACGCCGACAGCAAGGTATCGTGACTCTGTCACCAGCATTCATTCAGAGCCAATTACAACCGCAAGGATGGCTAGAGCTTTAAAAGTCGGCTACTAGACGTCACATCTGAGCAGGACTTGCCTTGAGTGTGCTAAGGGATGGGTGAGCAAGACCAACAACCCGCGAGGACAAAAATGTGAGTCTGGCCGATCATGGTGAGCCTGGCCAACGACCCGCGAGGACAAAAATGTGAGTCTGGCCGATCATTGTGAGCCTGGCCAACGACCCGCGAGGACAAAAATGTGAGTCTGGCCGATCATTGTGAGCCTGGCCAACGACCCGCGAGGACAAAAATGTGAGTCTGGCCGATCATTGTGAGCCTGGCCAACGACCCGCGAGGACAAAAATGTGAGTCTGGCCGATCATTGTGAGCCTGGCCAACGACCCGCGAGGACAAAAATGTGAGTCTGGCCGATCATTGTGAGCCTGGCCAACGACCCGCGAGGACAAAAATGTGAGTCCGGCCGATCATTGTGAGCCTGGCCAACGACCCGCGAGGGCAAATAGCTCTGCAGCGCAAACATATCTTCTCGGCTCCGCGGCCACGACCTCACCCAAGGAGAAGTGCATTAGTCACGCAGCATTAAATCAACCTGTGCCATGGTCGTGAGCTTGCACTTTCCTACACTGTTCGAAATTCTGGTGTTCGAAAGTGTTCGTCAATTTGTCGCCAGAGTTCCAAGGACAACTGTGAGCCAGAACCACGTCAAAAATATGTTCAAATCTGTCGTTGAAATTAGTCACAATATTTTGAAAGGATTATAACAAGTCCCACTCATATACCCTACCCAAGTCAAAGGGTAGCGTTGCATCCTTACCAAAGTAGACCTTAAACAGTGATATGACCACATGCCATATCGATGCCCCATCGTCCGAGCAGTATTCGTGTCTACCAGCAGTGACTCACTGGCAACCAGCATTGACTCGCTGTTAACCAGCAGCGACTCTCTGTCTACCAGCAGTGATTCGCTGTTAACCAGCAGTGACGTTCATGTATTGCAGGGCCGCCTGGTCGACTACGAGGCCCGGACCGCGCGAATCCACGGCAAGGGCTCGCGGCTCGACTTGGACCGCGCCTCCTGGTCGTTGGTCATCGCGCCGGTGGAGGCCGCCGACAGCGGCCACTACAGCTGCTCCTTCAACAGCCAGGCGGACCGGCACGTCAAGCTGGCCGTGCTCGGTGAGTGGGCGGCTCCGGCGCGGTAAAGGCCCGGCGCCGTCGTAAGCCGCTTGTTGTAAGCGCTTGTTCGGCGGGAACGCCGTGCGGGCGGCGCAGTGCCTTCCGTGGCGCGTGGACGGATCCATATTCCTTCAGCATGGCAGCTGGGTGGATGGGCCGCAACCCGCGGTAGTGTGGCTCAGCGCAGTACGTGGGCGAGTTGAGAGGATTATGGCGATTGAGGCCGCAGGAGGGCGTGCTCTCCGCGCTAGGGACCGGCTGTTTTCTCTTTTTAACGTCACGGTGACTGCATGAGCAGCATCTGAGCCAGAGTTGAGCACGCGACGACCGTCCAACAAAAGCGGTGCAGCACGCACTGGCTTGCAACAATATTACATTACGGGTGATCTTTCATTGATTCAACTTCAGCCGTTGCATAGCATTTTAACAACGCCCAAGAAAACAATTCGATGCAGCCCATAGTTAGTTGCTAGGTCACCGAGCGGTGCATCCTCAATGGAACGCTCTACAGGACACATGTTGGCAATAATTCGGACGTTATGTAACAGCCGTGTCTCATGATGCGTGCCGTAATGTCATGACATGCCCTGACGCATGCTGGCAGCCTGTGGTTAGAAGCGCCGTGAAAACACTTCCACACCGCCTGCTTGTCAGCAAGACTATACAATTCGAATTCCTTTTCAATGTTGAACAGCTTACAATGCGCTGTTTACCCACTCGCGACGCTCGGACAGCCGCGAGTCTGGACTAGTGCCATAAAAAGACATGAGCGTTTCAAGTCCCCGCCTGCCATCGCCTTAGGGGGGTGGGGGTGGGGGGGGGGAGGGGACACGAGGCTCTGAGGCTCTGAGAAAGGTGGAATGTCGCGGGTCTAAACCGCAGGAACAACATCAGACTCCGAACATGGAAATTAAAACCATTCTACTGAAAAAGTTTGCTTGTTGATTTACGTTGCTTATTGTGTTCAACACTATTTTTTAGCACTTCTTTGACATTTTGCATCGGATATTGGTACATGAGCACTATTGTTCCAGTAACTTGGCTCGCAACGAAACGCGTGTTACTGAGCCGACTTTGCCTTATCCAAGTGGTGATTGTTTTTAACCCATGACTTCGCAATGTCTAGTGGATGTGTTAATCAATCAACGTATGTTTGAATTAGCCTTAACAAAAAGTCAAACATCGTTTTCCAAAGGAAAATAGCTATCGATAAATAACACCATAAAGATGTGTCTCATATTCATATGCAACTCTTGGCATAATTCCGAGAACGCCATAACACCATAGGACTGCCCATTTATCCTCCAGTAATGATCCAGTGACGTCAGTAATGCCAGTAGGCTTCCAGCGGCGGAGAGGCTGCGTCATTCACCCTCAGCACACAAAACAACAATCCTTCTCGATTCAGCCACCGTTGCTACGGCACGGTCTTGTCGCCCCTAAATGACGGCCCTATTCGGCCGGCCCACGCGCGGACGACGCGCTCCGCCGCGGCTCAGTCAGCTGATTCGGAGCCGAGCACCGAGTCATTCATCGGTGGTCGCAGCTGGTTCCGCTCCGAGAGTCATCTCCATTTGTGCAGTGTCGCCGCAGTGGTGGACGACAGTGATGCAGTGGGGCCGTCGTCGCCAGGCGCCGCGCGCCGCGCCAGCTGCTGTCCTGCAGACTGGCGCCTGGCGCCTGGCGCCTGACGCAACACTGCCCGCGCGGCTTCAGAGCGGAGCCGGAGCCGGAGCCGAAGCCGGATCTAGAGCTGGCAGCTGGTCCAGGTGCTGTTAGATGCGGTAGCGGACTTTAAGGACGCTGGTATCGTAAATTATAATGATGATTTGGACGATCTTACGTAGAGTCGCCGTCTCGAGTCATTTAGCATCGAGTCGCCGTCTCGAATCATTTATAGTCGAGTCACCGTCTCGAGTCATTTAGCGTCGAGTCGCCGTCTCGAGTCATTTGGCATCGACATCGCGCTGGGGGGCGGGGGGGGGGCGGGTAAGGTGGTGGATGAACAGTGTACTCGAGAGCTGACCGACTTGTAACAGTACTCTTATCTGGGACGTACGCAGATCTACGCAACACGAATGTGCTTGCGGTAGGACTGTATGCGATTCTGAACTTGAGAAGTTTCAGCTGCACAGAAACCTGTTGGTCTTCAAGCGATAGCCCTAGCCAGGGCCTCGTATTCCAGGGACATCACTGACCTGTTTAGAACTACGATGTCCGATGGAATTCACGGCGATGCCAAGCATTGATAAGAGGTGTCTTGAGGAGCACTAGCGCTCAACCATGGTTTTAATAAACACGACTGAGTACGTGCCTACATACTCACTCAGTCCCGCTTGTGCTTGAAAGGATATCAAGCCTTCGTTCTATCCAATGCCGGCCAGAATGGCTACGATCTGCAGTGTTCAAAATCAGAAAGTGCTTGAGAGAGGAGAGAGAGGAGAGGAGAGAGAGAGAGAGAGAGAGAGAGAGAGAGAGAGAGAGAGAGAGAGAGAGAGAGAGAGAGAGAGAGAGAGAGAGAGAGCGGAGGAGAGAGAGAGAGATGAGAGAGAGAGAGAGAGAGAGATAGAGAGAGAGGAGAATACTATAGTAGAGAGAGAGGAGAGAGAGAAGGAAGAGAGAGAGAAGAGAGAGAGAGGGAGAGAGAGGAGGAGGAGAGAGAGAGAGAGAGAGAGAGAGAGAGAGAGAGAGAGAGAGAGAGAGAGAGAGAAGAGAGAAGAGAGAGAGAGGAGAAGAGAGAGAGAGCTAGAAGAGAGAGAGAGAGAGAGAGAGAGATGGAGGAAGAGGCGAGAGGAGAGAAGAGAGAGAGAGAGAGGAGAGAGAGAGAGAGAGAGAGAGGAGAGAAGAGAGAGAGAGAAGAGAGAGAGAGAAAAGGAGAGAGAAAAGAGAGAGAGAGAGAGAGAGAGAGGAGAGAGAGAGAGATGGAGAGATAGAGAGAGAGAGCGCATGTTTGTTTTCTACGTAAGGAGGATTACGCTTAGCGAGAACCAGATTTAACAACACAATAATCGCCTACTCGTTTCTTGCTACAAGCCTTTGGCTTACTTCTACCTACCACT